ATTTTTGATAATGGTAAGTACATGTACGATGTAAATGCATCTGTACTGCCAAGTAAGCTAGAGTGCAGTGCAGTACAGTGATAGTACGTTATATCCATATACACAATTCATATTTACATTGGTTTACTTTTCAAGTGCATATAATGTGTAAGGTGACTTAGCGTAAGTGGATACTTGTTTTTTCCTCTATCGTGGCTTCTCCCTCAAATAATATATCTGAGTCCATAATGTTTTGATAAACAATGAATTTCCCGTGCTGCTTATTTCACAAAAGTTCAAGTTAAAGTTCAGCCTGGTTTACAATGCACATTATTCCACTTTAGAATCTGCGTAAATCGTTATTTTTTCAACTTCTTTTATCAATTTTGTTATCACGTACTATTTATATGTACGTGGGAATGGCATTAAACCCTTGTTGGCCGACTTTAATAATATTGATGTTATCTTTCCATTTTCGCGCAGTAGGATAAAAGATAAATTAGCGGAGATAAGTGTTTTCTTGTTATTATAATATAACTTCTAAATATAGTACTAAATGTCCTTAAAGTCAGGGCTAAGATAAAGACAACCCTGCAAAACGTGATGAAAATAATATGGAATTCACGTAACGTGTTCTTCCACTGGCAAGGTATACGAAGTTATGCCAATTTACCAGCATTCGACGACGTAAGGCTCGGGCATTGAATGCCTTTGGTACTAAAGAACCGTGTGATATATCATGTTAATTTAATCCAACGGGCTTTGTAACGTGACATAAACTTGACATGGACTTTACTGGCCGTATGAGAAGAAAACGGTGCTGGCTAGTTTGACCTCTGGCCAAATAATTCCCACTCCTGTGTGGTCCATTCATTGCTTTATTGTACCATAGGCACGTCATTCTAGTGCATGCAGTGTCGAAGCTCTTACATGTATATACTGGCGAAAAGACAAGACATGGCCCATATACTTACCCGGGTTCACGAATGTAGGAGAGTCTGAAATAACTGTTACAAATTATCGTTGACCATAAACAGCCGGTAGGCCGTATGGCAGAATGTGGGGCAACCTTTTTTATCTGGTTATTCCATAGAACTGGGACCCATCATTCAAGGATAAACTTATGAAAAAGAGGAGTTTCGCAGCCACTCATCGTCATGACGAGATTTTGTGGTGCTTTCCTGTAGGCGTACAATGCATCTTGTGTAAACAGGCTGCCTCCCATTGTATATCGCAGATATTTTAAGCTCACATTTTACTGGATTGGTGATATAAACTATTACATGATGCCTGTGGGATTTTATGTGCTGCAAAATACCGCGAGGTAAAAACATTACCCAAGTGACCCAAGAGTGAGGTGAGCCACTGCGATTGATTTCAACCGTGTTTGAATAGCATTTTGTCTGTTATTGCCACCGAAGTCGCCGTATGTTTTCACAGCTAAAAGGGGCGACTTTAAAGTACAGCCACGCGTTTCTGCGTTAACCTCTCGCCTGGTTTTTCCGAGTTAACGAGCTGGTTGTAAAATTGCCCTGACCTCTCTCTCTTATAGGCCTTCCAAGTCGGTGAGTATATGATTATCTTTTTCAGTTGCCGTACTGGACATTTCGTATAGCAGTGCAATTTTCTAAGAGATTCACATTGCAATTATGTGACTGTGGATTTTCTTTTTTTCACAGGCTGTCAATTTTCATGAGAACAGCACACATGACCGAAGAAAGAAATAATCCAATCCAAGATTTTTCTCAAACAGTATTAGATATGGGTAAAATTTCGAAAATTATAAGCGTTTAATTAATTTTTTCACTTGCTTCTAGGTCGCTTCTATCTTCATAGAGAGTTCTGCATAGACCTTTAGCTGTTGCAAGTGTGGTTAGTTAATACACTGCGATATATTGATATACAGACATGTTTATTCCGGTGAACAGTTAAGAGAGGAGTTTGGCTTAGCGATGCCCAGTAATTAAGCCTGCAGGTAGATGATTCAAAACACCTGTAAACGATGTCAATCACCTTGCAGAATGAAGGAAACTCTCTACATTATATTCTGCTCGCCGTGAGTCATCCCTTAATCAACAAAAAACATTTATTTTTGTGTGTGGGATTACTGCGAGATTGGAAAATTGGAAATTAGTGGCGTAATTCTGTTAAAAGAGGATCGCGCATGTGATTGCTCATGTTTTTTGTACTTGACAATCAATAATCTCGTGTTTCAATATTTTCCAGTCACTTTTTGAAAAATAAAACACACGAACATCCGTCTCATTGCTAAATTACTCTTAATCGTATTGAATATTGAGGTCTAGGGACGCAAATTATCACACATATTGCGAGAAGTCGGCATTAATACCGCGATCATCACACAATTTTTGCGGATAATCTGCTGTACTATGTATTAATTTCCCCAAGGAAATTACGGAAATTTTCTCGAATTGCTAATGGAATTGCACCCAGATTTTTTTTCAGTTGAACTTCACTCATTGGTTTCCGGCACATTTTCCATTTGTTCTCGATGGCGGGTTAGGGATAGTTGTCAATGCGATCGGTGCGTCGGTCTATACTGGGTCATCTCTCGTTCTGACATTCAAACAAATTGAGCCATCAGATCTGTAAGTGATCGAATCATGTTTCTCATTTAGAAGATGATGTGGCATAGATTGATTCATTCTATGCCAAGAGACCGTCCGTAGCACCGCGAGTTTCAGAGATTTCTGGAAGCTAACACACCAGTACCGGCGTAACGTGACAGAGAGTCCCTAATGATAAAGAGTCCGCTTCCCATCCATTTGTACAGGTAAGCCCCACCCTAGATTTTGGCCCACTTAGGTCAGGCTTCCCCTAACCATTATAACTAAATGGAGGGCGGACTTTCAGTTACACAAACCTTAGTGTCCTTACACCGTCATGCCTTTGTTGTGTTACTAGGAACGGCAGAAGCATGATGGCAATAGAAATTGGTGCCAAGAAATCTCTGAGACTCGGGGCGATCGTTGAATGTCGTGAATGATGTCAGATACCAGCATACATGTCACTAACTAAAGATGGAAGTGAGACATTGACTTGGGTCTCTAGACAGCAAAATCGTTAATGTGTGATTTTGTCTGAATATCTTTTGAAAGAAAACCAAGCTGGATGAAGAACTGCCCAGCTAGGGCCAACCCAGCAATCTGAGAACACTGATATACATGTAGCTTTTTGTTATTAACATAAATAGAAGCTACAACTGCTTAGCACATTTTAATAATAATAGTAATAATAATTTATTGAGCATGGAAATCTTTTTACATTTAAAGGCTCTCTAACTGCTAGGTATTATATATTATATATACATTTTAGCACTTAAAACTATTTCTTTTGATTGCGGCAGTGTCACTTTTAAGTACACTGACACTAGATCTAAACTGCATCTCCTTTTATCGTTATGTTTCGTCTAATGCGTGTAAAACAATTTACCGGTATGTCGTGAAAAGTAATGAGAGCTCGAATCAGCTAGTTATCTCAGCGGCGAGCAATTCACAGAAGTTCGTGGATTTTGATTAGTCAGTTAGTGTTAAAAGGGCACTGGTAAAGCTTTAGATCATGCGTTAAGCACAGAACTGTTACAGGTTTTGAAAATTCAGCCAAGATTCCCCACTGATATGAACAAGACTATCAGGTCGGAATGGCTTTTTTTTTGTTCCTATCATCAAGACTGCAAGTCTTTAGTTATTGCGCATGATTTTAAAAGCACATCATACATCCCAATAGTATATGCCCTCATGGAAATTGTTGCCGGATATTTTAATGTCATGAGACATCATGCGCATTAATGGAACCAAAAAATGGCCTTGATTAGATAATCGTGTGATTACAGCATGGTATTTCAGTTTACGTCATAGCAGTAAGGAGGGAAGGCAACGTGTAATCTCGTTGATTATTTCTGAAACCGTATCCGGAAAACTTTTACACTGAATATTGTTAGCACCAATATATACAGTATATAAATATACAGTATATACGACTACGTTCGATTAGTTATACCATTACATGCGCTTATGGCTTTAAACCACAGAGTATTGAGGCACTTGCACAATGCATCATTGCGCCATCATATAAATGTATATTATATGGAGGATGCAGTATTTTTATTTCCGTGTCTCATGCGTTGCAAATAATATAACATGGATATAAAACCATTGTGTATTGCAACTAAAGGAAGGCATTCATTACACAAAACAATAAACTTAAACATATCGCGATGGCTGTGATAAACACCATCCGTTCACATCAATTATATGATGCAAATGCAAGTACTAACGTCGAAGCCTAATTAACAATTTAGCTCGTTTCGTTCGTTGATCTCCTTTTGATTAGCATCTTCCGTTAGCTGTGCAGCTTTTCATTTCTCTAAATTAACTGGCGTGTAGCGGCTTTGACTAACACGTTTGCGCTTGAATCATAGTCACGTAAGATAACAGAAACTCTGCACAACTACATTAGTGATATTACAACTGTGGGGAACATAGCCAAAACATGATAAAGTTGAACTATGATTTCCAGCAAATTCAGTTCAATCTGACTGAATGATAAACCGAATTACCTAAGTCGTTCAAAACATTGCCAGCAAAGCAAGGAGTTGGAACTTTGGGTCATGAACATTGTATATATCTTCAACCAAATTAACCATCAAATGTTTCAATATTTTAAAGATCAGAAGCGAAGCTTGTTCAAAAGAAAACTTTCCTTTTTCACCGGTAGACGCCCTTTTTTATTAGCAAGACTAGTAATGAGTGCTTCGACCAGTCGGCAAGCTGAGTTATCAGCATGGGTTTCTTGAGGGGCCGGTAAGCACCAAAACTCCCACCGATTTACAAGCTCAAGCACGCGAAAAGCAAAGCCCGCAAGATTTACAGAACCACCTAGCAAAGGTCACCGATGGTGGCCAAGTGTCTGAGGGATTTATGAATATCAGTATATCTCAATATGGCGTCACAAAGGTAGGAAAAATGGTAGCTGAAGTGGTAAACATGAAAGGGTGGGGAATATCCGACACAGTAACACAGTGGATTGAAATGTTACGAAAATTAACGCTGAAGGGACGGTTTCTTATGTGAACACCAACTGGAAGAGGTGTGCGTATAAGTTGATATTGGAAGGAGAGGAGTAAGATTTCACATTATTTGGCATTATTCCTGGGGATCCCGTTTTGATGATAACAGGTATTCGACTGTGCATCTAGACATATAATGACATAAAACATATAATGTAAATAATACTGACATACTAAAATATAACAAAAAATATATATTATATGTCTGTTTATGGCTACATATCTAGAGCATTTGATGTAATATAACTTGGATGCCGAAAAAAGATGCAGAATATTTCTCAAGAGAGCCAATTTTAAAGTGCGTCTTCATCAAATAACCTACAAGTAGTCTGAAGAGCTCTTCATGGTGTTTAAATGCGCAAAATGCCGCTATCTGTACCCCGTGCCATATAGAAGGAATAATGAAGAGAGTATAACTAATGACTATGTTATTGCATCATAAAGAAAAATAAAAGTGTATTTATAACTGTTTGAAGTGTGGCAAATGAAATATGAATAATGGATAAAGAATGGTAGCCTGGCCTTTTTAACATTTATTTCACATATACTTCACATACACCCGGTATGGATTGCATGACGAAATGCTTTCAAGTTTTCAACTTTAAATTAGTGCGCCTATATATTGTCGGCTATAAAAATAAGGAAACCGTATTGCGCAAACAGATGCCAAAATACACATTTAATCTTCATAATCTAATAACCGCGTTTGATAAAAGAATAATACCTTCCTCTTCACGCGTTCGCTTTCTCTAAGTAACGGAAACCTGTCACCGGTCATAACGCTTTAATATCTCAAAAGTGTAGAATGCACGAGGAGAGAGAAGCCCTAAAATTTGCCCTTAGGTTTTGCGCGTCACAACGGCTTAGTTTTTTTTCTATGAAACTTAAGACTCATTTCCGATAAAACTATCGTTCTATTTAAATCGATCCAACTCCGCAGGGACTCTCGCCGAATGCAATCAGATTAACACGCCTCCTCTTGGCGTTGAGCAGAATGCAGAAAAAATGGTGATGATGATAGGACGTTGGGAACAACAGGTGTGTTTTAACAGTTTAAAATCTGTTAAACTGATTGCATTAAGCTGGAGTTCCCGCAGAGTTGGATCGATCTACGTAGGACGATAGTGTCATTGGGAATGGGCCCTTAGCCTTCAGCTGATGGGAATAAACCCCCCGACATTGGCACGTGCATGCGTAGATTGCTTTACTGCACTTAATCGTGTGCGTATGGTCGTAATAAGTAAGGGCAACCGAGTTACTGGAGTTGCCTCGAACAACATGTACTTTTACTGATACGCCAGCTAATGGGGCACCCCACATACACATGTACACGCACGCGCGCGCACGCACTCAAACTCACCCACCTTACCATGGGATGGTTTTCCAAATCATTATTCAAACTCAAACTGTAGCGTCTTTCGTATTTATCTTATCGGTATCGGCATTTAGACTTGCACCTTATCTGATTTCCTTGTTATACAGTCATATATATCACGACGTCTAGTCGATTTTTACATGCAGTTAACATTCAGTGTCATAAAATAAATGTCAGTGCAAATAATCGACCACGTTAGGGAAGTTGTTCACAATGATGTGTTTATAGTTATATCAATTTCGACAATTGTGAGCAATATGATATTTCCCTTCACTCTTTTGTGACATAAATTTTTAAATACTTTTAATGGATTGTACTTTCTGATAAACATATGACTAATGAACATATCATTCATTTCGCTGAAAAGTACTTTCCGGCAATGATTTATTAGATTGTGTCCTCGTTAATGGTGATTACTCTTGTATTATTTCAGTCATGTTTGGATAAGAACTCTGCGGCTATGGGACCATTCGCCATCTTGATCACGGTGCAGGCGCTCTTTTTTCTTACCACCAATGGTAAGTACACCATGCACATAAGGTAGACTAATACCCTGAGTGACCTAGCTTAACGAAGGCCGTTAGTCAAACCAACATACTCCTGTCTTCTCTGTCTCATTAAATTGTCAGTTATAGGTGGTTGTGTAGAACAGTGGCGGATTTAGAGGGGGGTCAGGGGGGTTCTGACCCCCCCCCCCCCTCCTTCGGTGTCTGAAAAATATATCACACCAATATTCCCCTTTTGAGATCAGAGTTTTGACTAGCTAATAATAGTTCTAAGCCGTACCAAGGGCCAATGTTTGCTCTCTTAAACACCAAAAAAATTTCGGGCCCTTTGAGCAGGTCCCGAACCCAACCCCTAGGGGGTGATGGTCGGCAATGCGTCCCCTTCGAATCCTGGATTCGCCCCTGTAGAAGACTGACAACGCTAGCATTTGAAAAACAGGGTGACTGCGACCACACGTGTAGAAAAGATTATGTTCATTGGGTAGATTGCATGATTTGTTCCATCTCTTCTAAACGAGTGGTTTCCCATTGCGCCTTTCGTAATTATCCCAAACGTCTAATAAGCTTTATACGAGAAGTATATATTCTAAGATAGCGCCACAGTAGGCGAGTGTAAATACGAAGTTATTTTATTTAGGTTAGCAGGTGCAGTTATTACTTACATTTCCTTTTGATGAAAAAAGCTTCTTCCGCGCAATTAAGAGAAGACTGGCTCAGTCTATTCCAGTTAAGAGCCCAGCGATGCGTCATTTCCACATGGTTTCACGGACGCGTGCTTATACTTCCGTGAGGTTCATCCATCGATCTTTTCATATTTAATGAAGTATATGAAGTTCAAATAAAATCATCAGTGCTTCAAGTAATAGCTGCTGTTTCACTCTTGCAAATAGAGAAGCATTTATCATACGCTAGTGGCCCTTAGCAAATACTATAACGGCCATGAGCCACAAAAAAAAAAAAAAAAAAAAAAAAA